ACAAGACGGTGCACAAAAGTTAAAGAGTTGTTCAAAAGTCTGAGAGGTGTGGCCTTAGGATTTTTTTTAATCCACAGCCATATGCTAATGCTGAATGTGATTGTGATTTCACTACTTCCTCACCTTGTGGCAGTATAAAAAATACCTTATTGTGTTTAAAAACTGTCCCAATCACACCATTTATCCTATCAGCTTCAAAATTGTCACATAAAGTTTAGACCCTTTGGAAAACCAAAACAATCATCATCGCATGCAGCAGAGCGTGGCCAGGGATGGGAAGCTTGGTGAACTTCCACATATCCCCGTTGGTGAGTAACTGGCCAAAAGTGCGCACGGTCTAGATCGCCCAGTTGCRCGATGGCCTTTTATCATTGCTTATAGTATTAATGAAAACATGTCTCACTCAGTATTTTAAGCAGAAAAAGAAAAGAGAGCTAATGTACAGTTTCTGTCTCATGGCTAATTGGTGCAAACTTATAACAGCTAAAAGTGTTTCCAGGTTTTTCACTTTAGAGATAAAAAGAAAACTGTAACAGTAATAAAAATTTGAAGATCTGTCCACGGATTTTCTGAAACATAAAGTAAATGGCAGTTTAACGCAGCAAATATGTGTCATTTGACCTTTAAAATTTAACGTTTGTGAGTGAAGATGAGGCATTTTGCTCAATCGATGGTCCCACTGATGCATTTTTTTCTCTCTCCCTATTGAAAACTTGGCATTTTAAAAATAAATTTCAGTTCTTTCTTATAGTGAATTCATGTGTGAGACAGTATGTTTTCTATCAACAAAGGAATTCAGAGGAATAATCAGTTTTAATCTCTATATTGGATGATGAGACCATTTCCAAGAACTCTGTAATGGATTTTTCATTTTTTACTGATAAGAAACCACTATGTTGCCAAAAGAAAGAGAAAAAAAACATGTTCTTTATATTTAGACCAAGGTAAATGCAGGAAACAGCCCATTCACGGACAATCTGAAGCTTACAAGAGCAATAAATTCAAGGGTGACCAAGATCCACGCCGGCCATCTGCCAAGAATCCAATTCAGCAAATGGTTGGATCTGAGTAAGCCTTAAGCTGAAAATAAAGTCYCCATGCTTAAAATGATGCTTTAATGGGTATGAAAGCCACTGCAGGAGAATACAAATCCTGACTCTTTTTTTTCTTCTTTCTCTTAAACCCTGACTTTTATCCGCTTCCATCCAGCATGTCCTGTGAAGTTGATTAATTGAACAGTTTAGGACAAAAAGGGGGAAACTTTGATTAAGTTTGGCATGACTAAACCACAGTGTGGAGCTGGAGGGGGAACTGCAAAAAAAAAAAGCTGCTTCTCTTTATCTAAGRATCACAATAAGGCAAAGATTTGCCAAAAAATAAAAAATAAAAAAAATGAAAATGAAGATGTCAGAAAGCCATATACTGCAGATCGAGGATGCCAAACTCCCTCAGTAGACCAGATGTGATCAACTTCAACAGATCAAGTTTAACTTAAGACTAAAAACACAAAATGTCACATTCCTCATCTCATTGCTACAACTGAGCGATGCTAACAAACAATAACTGAGCTCTACATGGTATTTCCTGCATAGAAACAGTGTTTTAGCACGTCTTTTTTTATAAAAACTGAAAAGTGTCCACCCCTCGCGCAGTGACTGCTGGATATGGGCACCGGTGACCTCCGTGACCCTGAAAGGAAGAAGCGGGTATAGCTAATGGATAGATGAAAAGTACTACATGTAGGACTGACTAAATGTGAAATAATTAATACAGAAATACTATTAAAAGTAAGAGTTCCACTCACGTTAAGTTGTGGTGAGTAGCTGCCGTTTTGAACTCTCCCACTTTCCGACAAAATTCCCACCGGGTGTTCCGGTTTAAATTCACAACCTGAAAGTGGGAAACTCCCACTTCCCASTACRAYTGGACCACAGCAGAAGTAGCCAGGAAAAAAAGCTGCCGGCTACTTTTGAACCCTGTGCACCTCCACCTAGTGGTGCGATGTCATCATTTAATAGGTAAAATAATCAACAAGCATTATGGGAGATGTAGTTAATGGTCAATGTTGCCTTCAAAGCAGTTTATTTTAAAACATTAACACACCTTTGAAGCTGTCGTGGCGGGCCACATTTGGACTGCGGGTCTTGAGCTTGACGTGCTGTAGATGGTGAATCAAGATGTTGGTGTGCACCACCTGCTTTGGGGCTGAGGTGAGAGGGGAGTTTGGGGTAAATTTGAGGTTGTGGCTGTCAGCAGCCTCTCAGTCATACGGGCCGACTGGGACCGCAGATATGAGGAGATGCAATTAAACGATGAGGGACATGAGGGCAAAACTGTCACTGCCAGTATTTTCATCAACATTGCATGCCTTACAAACTGCGTGAGCCTCGATGTGTGTTTGTGTGTGCARACATTCTTCTAGGTAGTTTTCTCTCAGGATGTGAGCCTGGTTGTTCGAGTTGCTTCCACAGCCCACGACCCCGGAGAAAAGAAGGATGCCCACTTCCTTCCACCCTCAGGCATGCCCGTTCCTCCACAAGGGAAAAAAAGGGGGGGCCTCTTAATTTATTATTTGTTCCCTTCTTGTAAGGAAATACTTTCTCAATAGCTTTTTCCTCTTTTGTATATTTTTACTGTTCTTATTTTGTTCCTTGATCCAGCCCTGTCCTCTCTTATTTATTTGCTTTCTAAACACCAGCTCGGCTCGCTACGTTCAAGCTGCCGAGAAGAGACTTTAAAAAATGACTTCTGCCCTCTGTGAGGACAGTGTTTATTTGCCTGGGTGAACCTGAAGGCGTACATATATTTTAAGTATACCTTGTCTGTAGGTGACAGCTGAGCTGAAACATACGAGCTGACCTGGGTTAGCACCACCTCGGGCCTTAATCAGATTCTTCTGCTGCAGATTGAAGATATGCCKACTGATATAACGAGCTCCGATGTCATAATTTATCAGCCCCGGCCCTGCCACTCTTAATGTAAACCCGTTCCTGCGCCGTGTGAGCTTTAATTGGATGTTTTGTGCCTAACACATGTTGAGGGGAAATGGTTTCTTTGAGTCAAATCATGTTGACACAGTTCATCTTATTCCTGTTCCCATTTATTTGATCTTGTTAGCGTTGGTCATGTTGTGCTGTATTATCAACCTGTTCTTCCTRAAATAAAACAAAAATGACATTATAAAGCAAAGTCATTGTCTGAYCACTGACAGATGACTTTGAAAACTTTTYTCTTTGAAGAGAATCAGGCTTTTTAAAGGACAAAATGTGTTGCAGSAGTCACCYACCTTGTTTAAAGGAGGCATATCATTCAAATTCMCTTTTTTGAGCCGTTAAATACATTGTTGTGCACTTGGAGTCTCTAGGAGTGCAGAAAGGTTTATTGTAGCCTCTCCCTGTGCTGCTGAGATATTTTTACATTCTGTATGGGTTATATTTTTCAGGCTGTTCAGTTTTTTCTATTCACTGTTATATTTTTTGAACATTATCACAGTTTTTGCTGCGGAACATGCAGTTCTGTAGGTTAATCAATTTCATTCTCTTCTGTTGTTGACATCTTTTAATTAATTTGTAAATAAAAAATCAAAAAGAAAAAATAAGTAGGTCCTCTGGATGGGTTCTTCTTTAGTGAAACATTTCGTCTGTTGTCCAAGAGACTTCTTCAGTCTGATGAGTTTCAGGTGAACTCAGCCTTATAAGCACTGCCTCCACATGGACAAACAGGTTAGTCCATGCCATGACACTACCAGCACCATGCTTCACTGATGAGGTGGTGTGTTTTGGATCACGAGTAGCTTCTGTCTCTGGTCTCATTTATCTGTATGATATTGTTCCGGAACTGTACAGACTTCCTGTTTTTGAGGCTCATCAGTGGTTTCCATGTTGTGGTGAACCCTCTGCATTCACACTGGTCAAGTCTTCTCTTGATCGTTGACTTTGACACACACGCCTTCCTCCTGGAGAGTGCTTTTGATCTGGCCAACTGCTGGGAAGGAGTTTTTCTTTGCCGAGGGAAATAATTATTCCGTCATCCACCCCAGTTGTTCTCCGTGGTCTTCTGGGTCTTTTGGTGTGTGTGCTTTCTTTTTAAGAATGTTCCAAACAGTTGMATTGTCCACGCCTACTCTTTTTGCCGTCTCTGACGGGTTTGTTTTGATTTTTATCCTAATGACGACTTGCTTCAATAACATTACGACTCTTTGGATCGTGTATAGAGTGTTGACAGCAACAGTTCCCAAATGCACATGAAATGAACTATAGACCTAATATCTGCTCATTGTAAAYRGGATAATGAGGGAATAACACACCTGGATACTTTTGGTCCCGTACAAAGCAGGAGGCACAAATACAAACCATTGTAATTTGTACACAATTCACCTGATTTAGATGTAAAAACCTTCAAATTAAAGCTGAAAGTCTGCAGTTATAGAACCAAATCCATCATGGGGGTGTCTACAGCCAAAAAGATGAGAATTGTGTCCATGTCTCAGCTTTTATGGCTTGAAATCATAATCTAAAAATCAGTAAGTTTTTCAGTATTTATTTGGGTTATAAAAAGCTACAAATACAAACTGTCCTAATTTTAAACCTTTTTTTTTGTTCGAGTACAACTGGATTTGTTCCTCTCTTATTCTCTTTGTTCAGTTTGTATCGTATTCAGTGAATTAAAGAGCACTTAGGAAAGAAATAAAACATACAAAACYCTTAGTTTGAACTCTCAAAGCAGACAGTCGCTTCTCTTGATGATGCTCTCATTTCCTGTCTGGACAATTAAACGAGCCTCTGCAGCCACCTGAGGCCAGTTCTTCATCAACACAAGTTCAGAGAGGTGTGGCTAATCTTAGCTGATCTGTTATTAGAGGTGTTTCTCATCTTTATGACGCAGCTAACAAGACTTTCAGATGCTGGGAACGTTCAGGCGTCATGTTGAGGATGAAGATCAGTGAGATCTAAAAACAAGCCTGACACCGGGTTACAGAAGCCACGCTTTATGAAGCGATCTCTCGGGCAACTAGTTTTATTTGTTCTATGTCTCATGGACGTTTTAATGCTTCTGCAGAGGCAGGAACCAGAAATGATTTAGAACAGACAAGCTCCAGCGTTGAGATTAGAGGGAAATGCACCAAGCACTTACTCCTGAAATGGCAGCAAATTGGGACACTGATTTTCAAAGAGGAAATAATGAATCACTCAGTCTTTTCTTGTTGCAAAATCCAGGTGCAGAAAAACATGAACATCATGAACCATTAGGGGAAAAGAAAAAAAAAGCAAGAGCGCTGCACACTTTACTGTCAGAAGCAACTTGAAAATATGTCTGTTAAAACAAAAGGAAGGCGAGATGCTTTTAGTTACAGAGGAGAGGCCTGTCAGTAGGTTTGATAACAGAGGAGAGCTCAAAGGTTAAGAGCCAATTATCAGACAGAGGTGGGGTGATGAACGAGGTGGTGTCCGAGCAGAAGTGACTCAGAGGAGCCACGTTGTTCGACAAAGACGGGACAAAACATTTAAGAAACAGTGTGCTGGTGAAGATAAAATCCAGCCCTCGTATAAGTTCTTGACAGGTCCATCTTTCTCAGAAGCCTCCGGGTCATCTGCCAGGCGACCCGTTATCAACGGCCCGGCTTAGTCCTCCAGACAGCAACAATCTGTCATGATAAGCATACATTAAGTCAAACCGCTGCGTCGAACCTCAAGCTTTATCAAGGTGCTGCTTTGGGATCTGTTTTTGTTTTTCATGTTTAGTTTTTGTCCGTTTTCTAATCCACGTGTCAGAGAAACATCCAGCCGAAATCCATCCAGTCAGATCGCAGTCTTCGGGTTTTTACTCACAGGCTGCACAGCCGCTCCTCTTCCTCCTCCATCAAACTCCTGAACCACACACACACACACACACACACACACACACACACACACACACACACACACACACA